AAATAATTTTAATGAGTCATCTTTTGCTATGTGTTGCTATCATCATCATATTTCTTAGTTTATCTAAAATTTAAATAAGTTATGTGGGAAATTAAACAGTCAAATTATTTAAAATTCAAACTCTGGCCTAATCTAGACAGGATTTTGGAGAGTGATCTAGAATTAAAATTGGAAGTAATTATTAAATGCATGTTCATTTGTCTTAAGTTGCTTCAATCATGTCTGACTCTCTGCAACAACATGGACTGTAACCTGCCAGGTTCCTCTCTCCATGGGATTCTCCAGGTAAGAATACTGGAGTGGGTAGCCTTTTCTGACTCCAGAGGACCTTCCCGACCCAGGGATCGAACCTGCATCTCTTATGTCTCCTGAATTGGCACATGGGATTTGCTCCCACCTGGTATTGAACCCCATGCTCCCTGCAGTGGAAGTGGGGAGACTTAACTGCTGCACCACCGTGGAAGCCCTTAGCCACTCTAGACCTCATCTGTGATTGAGAAATGCTACCATCCATCAAACTAGAAAGACTTGAAAGATCTCATCCATGGGTGGAAGAGAGATCTAATGGAGGTTCCTGAACTTGGGTCTCTTGACAATGGCATATAATTGCCAAGATGGAAAGGACTATGCCAATGATGGTCTCAGAATGAATGGAGTGTGCAAGGAAGAAGAAAGAGGGTTTTCTGCCTGGAAAAAAAAACCCAGACCGCATTTCTTCTGTGATTCACCCCAGTCAGGATCAGGGGTAGAATTCAAAGGACAGCTTCCCTCATTTGGGCCCCCAACTTAGAAAATGCTCATCTCTACCAAAGACAAGCAGTAATGGCTTGGGGTGGCAGACTAACTCTCTTCTTCTCATGATCTCCACATAGGCAATTATCACCTTTTTAGAATTAAACATTCAATATCTCATTTCAACTGGATATTACTCTTGATTCACCTTTCATAATACCAAATTATGCTACTGATTGCATCATTCAAGCCATAGCCTGTCTCTTTTTGGACTTTTTAATTTAAAATCTCTTTTTTTGTTTACTAACTTTTCACCCCTGAACTATTTTATTTTTTATTATTTGAACCGTGGTGAGACTCTTATTTCCAAACATTTTGTTTGTGTGTTCCTTGTATTTCTCATTTTTTTCCTTCTTTTTTCTTCTCAGAAGTGTTTAAAGCCTTCTTAAACCTTTTCCTCCCCTTGGCTTTTATGAAATGTTTCATAGTTCTCTCACCTCTGATTGCTCTCTTTCTATCTGCTTTCCTTGTTTCTCTTTCTTCTGGTCTAAGTATGGGCTTCCCTTGTTGATCCTCTCCTAATCTTCCCTCCTCCTCCTCCTGCTTTTCTCTCTCAAGTCTAACCCCATAGCACCCCTCCCACCTTTGTTATTCTTCTCTCTTCATCTTTCTTACTCTTTTCTTTAAAAAAAAAAAACAGTAAGGTAATAAATATACAGGAAAATTTGTTTTGAAAATGTGCTCTGAGTTATTGCTGATGATAAGGACAATATGAACTACACTGATGTGGAGTTTGTGGACTCCAGGTTGAAAGAAACTTTATCTTATAAAACTCCAGGATAAGCAGAACACAAAGAAACTTGCCCATCGCAATAGATTTTAAAGTTGTTTCTCCATGAGAGTGTGCTAGGCACTTCCAGTGGGAGAAGTGAAAGTCATGGGCTGTGTTAGCCAAGCTAGTGCCTGCTCGTTATTCACCTACCACCTTTCCTTGATTAACCCCTGTGTGCCTCTGTTTCCCTGTCTCTGTCGTTCAGTCTCTAAGTCACGTTTGACTCTGTGCGACCCTCACAGACTGTAGCATGACAGGCTCCTCTGTCCTTGGGATTCTCCAGGCAAGAATACTAGAGTGGGCTGACATTTCTTTCTCCAGGTGATCTTCCTGACCCAGGGATCGAACCTGTATCTCCTGTGTCTCTTGCATTGACACTTGGGTTCTTTACCATTGAGCCACCTGGGAAGCCTTCCCTGTCTCTAGAGTGTCAATAATAATGGGAATTATTTTATAAGATTATGGTGAGTATTAAGTAGTTTTACATCAAGTTCTTAGAACAGAGTTTGGCTTGTGTAAGAAATCAAATCTTTTCATTATTCATAAGGTGTATTTTCTGCAATAATCTTCTGCAGTAAAACATTCATTGATTTTTTTTCCCCCTTTTCTATAGAACTAAACAAATTAATAATCCTGGTCCTTGATAATATGATTATAACTTCCTCTTCTGATATCCATTTTTCTAAGTATATCTTATGTTCATGGCTGACTTCTGGCTTGACAGTGTGGTATGCTTTTACTCCTCACAATCCTGGGATGTTGTGTACAGCATAATAAATATCTGGAGGACATGAACGTAAGTATCACTTTCTCTCTTAAAAAAATTTTTTTTTTGATGTGGACCATTTTTTAAAAAGTCTTTTTGAATTTGTTACAGTATTACTTTTGCTTTATGTTTTGTTTTTTTTGGCCAGGAGGCGTGTGGGAGCTTAGCTCCCCACCCAGGAATCAGACCCTCACCTCTTGCATTGGAAGTCAAAGTCTCAACCACTGGACCACCAAGAAAGTCCCCCTTTTGCTCTCTTAACTCCATGAGCTTGTTGTGTTTTTATCCAGCTGTGATCCTCCTGCCTATTTTCTCCCTGTTAAAATTATTCCTTTCCTTTTCATGTCTGTCAGGAAACTTTTTTTTCTTTGATCTTCTTAGTGAAACTGTACTACATTCTGTGGATTACTTTTTGTGGCCTTATCATAGGGCCAAAGTTAGTTAGCTGAACTTTTCTTCCTACTGCTTCAGGAGTAGGTTGTGTCTCCATAGCTACTGAAGTCACTTTCAATCCTTTGATACCAAGATTTTTTGATAATCTGTGTTTCCTGTAATTGTTTTTCCACAAATGTTTGTGCTCCTTAAAGGGGAATAAATATCTCTTCCCCTGTTTGCTCATTACTGTTTGTGCCTTTACATACAGTATTTACTGCAGATTCCTTAGGTAGTTATTTAGTTATTTGCCACTTGAATCTGAGGAATAGTGATTGAGTTACTTATATTTGTATTTTTATTTTTCTGTTCTCTGACTTAGATCTAGGTAAATTTTTACTAAATCAGTTGAATGATTTATCAACTAGGAATTGATTTAATATGTTATCAGATGAAATGATTCACAGAATGGTATAAAGTTTCTGTTGAACAGTCTCTGGAGAAACTGCCCCTTTGGAAGAAGTAATAATATTGGAGATTTCAGAAAATGAATACCTGTACAGCTGGAGAAATTTAACTTGTTTATTCTTTCTATGCTTTTTGAAAATATATCCTACTGGACCATGATCTCTTAGAGGGCAGGGCTATATTTACAACTCTTCTTTGTACTTTTTATCATGGTTGTAATTTTATGTATACATATATATGTATGTATAGAATTATATTTTATGTGAATTATATATATGTAATTGGTCATGGCTAAATACACTGGTATTTTATATCAAAAGTAATTTCTCAACTTTATAATATTTTAACATAGTGTTATATGGGGTGACTTCAAATTTTTTTTTTCTGGGCACATACTTTGGTGTTATAGAACCAACTGAAAGAGTAAAGGTGCTAGTAATACTGGTGGTGTTCTACAGAGAAGTAAAGAAGAGACAAATACACATGTGATCAAATGCATAAATCAAGTTATCTTTGATAGTTTTTATAGTATAGTAAAACTAAAGAAAAACAATAAGAACCCATATCCATATATTTTGGTATATTTTTCTATATTTTTGTTAAAGCTAAAATAGTGAGAGATGATGATGATCATAAATACAGCAGTATTCTGTTTTTCAGGATCTGTAAAAACAAAGCAATACAAAATACCACAAGCCATTAATTAAAAGCAGACAAGTTCTTCAATCCTCAAGTGTTTTAAAATAGCCCATTGCTGGGTGGGACATTTGAAGCTGGGATCAGGAAGTTAAATGGATGTAATTTTGAAAACTGGTCCACCATTTATACTTGTGATCTTTGGAAAGTCACATAAATTCTCATAGCCTCAATTTCCTCAGCTTTAAAAAGGAGACAATGATAATCTTCCTTTATAGGGAGACTCTGATTATTAAATGAAATTCAGTACAAGGAGTATTTGATGCAGTAATAGTGTCAGAATTTTTCTAAGTGTTCTACAATTGGCATTTGTCTTTGTGATTTTTATACTATATAACTGGGATAATTCTCCTTATTTATATTCAAAATTGGGAGTTCCAATATACAGAAATAGGAGTTATATATGATATTCTCTTACGTCTTTAATATTCTTTCTTAAGAATCATGTTATATCATGATGTGTGTTTCAGTTAATATTTATAGCAAGAGAGGTCTTCTATGGGTTGTGGTTTAGTTTATATTTCATTCTAAAGTTAATCACAATATTTACTAAAATATTTCATCCTTTTTGTTATTAAAGCCAGGAGGTCCTGAAAGAGTGAGAGGAGCACTCCTCTATATCAAATGCACACTTGTGGGATTTTGTAAACTTTAAAGTATACACTAACTCTTATTTACTAAGGCCCTAGTTAAAAGTGATTTTTTTTTCCTGGAAAATAAAACATTTTAGCAATGGGGGAAGATGGTTGAAATACATACACATTTGATGAAACTTTAGTTCTTTTATTTTATAGGAATCTGCTAGCATTGGGTTATAGTTCTAACCTATCCACTCAAGGAGACCAGATTTAATTTCTGAAATAAAGAGAAATAAGAGTTTCTAATCCTATGGCAGATTTTGGAATCAGATCCTTTATCCATTATGCTACATGGCTGGCTGATACATATGGCAGATTTTGAAACTATTTATCTTTCTCTTTCATGTGGCAAACACACACACACACACACACCATGCACACATGCACACAAACCTGAATCACTTATTTGGTTAGAAAATATTTTGGAAAATGTGGTTTACCTTGATTTGACTTTGTCTTCTTGTGATTGGTACATTTGTCATCTTAGTTCTAGAATTTATGGAATCTGTTTTTGCTGGTTGTCAGCATCAGGGGGAGGGACAGTGCCAGCATCAGGGGCGGGGGCAGTGCGGGCATCAGGGGGAGGGGCAGTGCGGGCATCAGGGGGAAGGGTAGAGCCGGCATCAGGGGCAGGGGCAGTGCTGACATCAGGGGCAGGGGCAGTGCCAGCATCAGGGGGAGGGCCAGTGCCAGCATCAGGGGCAGGGGCAGTGCCGGCATCAGGGGCAGGGGCAGTGCTGACATCAGGGGCAGGGGCAGTGCCAGCATCAGGGGGAGGGCCAGTGCCAGCATCAGGGGCAGGGGCAGTGCCGGCATCAGGGTGAGGGGCAGTGCCGGCATCAGGGGCGGGGGCAGTGCGGGCATCAGGGGCGGGGGCAGTGCTGACATCAGGGGCAGGGGCAGTGCCAGCATCAGGGGGAGGGGCAGTGCCAGCATCAGGGGGAGGGGCAGTGCCGGCATCAGGGGCAGGGGCAGTGCCGGCATCAGGGGCAGGGGCAGTGCTGGCATCAGGGGAAGGGGCAGTACCAGCTGCTGCAGCATATGTGGTGGCCTTGGGTTGGAGGGTGCTGGGAGCTGTGGTGCTGGGTGCAAAGCCTATAAGTTTGCTGGTAGAGGCGGCGGAAGCCTCGGTGTTCGCTGTTGGGGGAGCACTAGAAGTGGCTAGTGGAACTTGAGAACTGGGGTTGATAACATTCTTAGATGTTGGAGCACGTCTGGGTGATGGACCATGTGGGCGGTGAGGGAAGAGGAGATTGTGGAGGTATCTTGGGGATCCATGATGACGATGGTTACCGTGTGGATTTGCAGAAGCTTGTCCAAATTTTGCAAACTGCTTTCTTGTCTTATGAAGGTGTGTTTGTTTAGATGGTTTAAGATGCTCTTTGGAACTTTCACTAAACTTAAGAGAACACAAAACAATTATTTTTATGCAAATGACATGCATTAACTAACTTGTAATCAGGCTTCAATATGTATCCATGTTATTACACAAATTTGTGTAAATATTCTGACTTTATTTCATAAGTAATTTGATGCGTGTACCCACCAAGAAGAGCAAATTATGAACTTTGGTGAAATGTAAACTGGATTTCTGCTATTCTCAACACCTAATAATTTTATTACAAATTTTCCCCAAATGTGTTCCACGGTAAACACTGTATTAAAAAGATTTTGGTAGTCAAATAACTATGGAACAGTAAAATACTTTTCTTTAATACAAGACTTGTTGGAATTGTTAATGTAATATGTCAGTGGCTATTTAGCATATCCAAGGGATATGCCATATTTCCCAAATTTATTTCACCACGGAAATGTTGTGTGTGTGAGTATGTGTAGCATTTCTTCATTCTAGTGTTTTAGGGTTTCACGGAGAACATTTTGGGATATGCTCTTCTAATTTCCATCCTGGAAAACAGCATAGTGTATTTTACTGCTCTGAATAAAGAGAATAAAGGGAAATTATAGGAGCTTTGTGTTACTCCTATTGTAGATCCTAATATGAGATTGACAGAGCATTCCATGAATCCATATGGCTAGTATTTGCACAGAATCATAGACAGTAAAAGCTAGAAATGTCTTAGATTAGTCACTGTATATCTTCCCAGTGAAAACCTTCATTGCAGCAATGCTATGGGCAATTTTACTGGCTTTAGTTACATGGATTTTTATATGGCATTCCTTAGGATTTCAGTTTAGGCCCTTGTCTCTTATTTCATCTTCAGTGGTGGAAGTTAATCATTGAGATTCTAAATATGACACTCCTCTTGCCTCTTCATGCAGGATTCATTCTTAAAGTGAATAAATTCAGAGAAATAGTAAAATACTGGACTTCAAGATGAAGAAGGAATACGTTGCCAAAAATTGTCATAAACTTTCAAGGTGAACTTGAGATTTTTTTTTTCTAAATATCAGCACAGTTTGGATCACTAAACTTAGACAACATCTATCCCATAGCACTGGGAGCAGGATAACTTTTTTGTTTTAAAGGATTCATTTAGAATTCTTGTCTTGGAATGGGGAAAAGGGAGCAGGAGGATGAAATAGGATGATGTGACAAGTACTTTCAGGTAATATGCCATATTGGGCAACCCACCTCCATTCTCATCTGGAGCGGAGATTGTGAGAATTACAAATGGCAGATCAAAACACATGGAAATAGGCAAGTTAGAGTTGCTGTGGCGTAACAGGGACAGGTGGATAGACTTCCTCACTTTCCCTCCGGGTTTCTCTTCTGCTCACACAGTTTAAAGATTCTCTTCGTTAAACACTTATCAGATTACATTAAAAAAGAAATGGCAGAGAGTAAAGAGAGAAATTTGTCATTTGGAAAAGTCTTTCCTTATGTTTTCGAATTTCCTTTCTTTTCCCATTGAAAATCATTGATTTTGAGAAAAGAAACTAGTTTTTGCTTTCTTTGTGGGATCATAGGAAAAAGCCATCAGTATTCATAAGGAGAAAGGCATTTACACTGACCAAACAAATGTAGATTGTTTTTGGTCCTGAAGGTTGGATAAACTTTGCTTTTCATGGGCTAAGTAGTCCTACTCTCATAGTAGATGAATACGTACCTACATGATCAGCAACTGAAAGCTAGGTTTTGCTGTTCACAGAACTACTCCCATTGGATTTCTAAATTTGGTAATTGGGTGACTCTCTCTCTCTTACTATTTTCTTGGGTTGAGAATAAAAGAAAACATGTGTACCTTATCAACTCCTCAGGCATAAGTAAACTTTTGACTATGAGTGAAAATGTAAAATGATAAACAGAAACATAAATAAAACTTACTTCTTTGCGGAGTTTTTTCTTTTGTGTACCAGCTGACTAAAATGAGATAGAGATGTAAATATAGTAAAAATTAATGAGACCTAGAGCATATATAACATTTTTAAGAATACTGATTATAATTTTTTCATGAGGGCAAAATGTGGTTGAGTTAGGGCGAATAAAATGGAATGCAATTTTAGAATTTTGGGTGCCATCATTAAACATGAGGGGCCTTCTGGAAGTTCAGAGAGTACATAGTTCATGGGAAAACGATGATCAATTTTTTTAGAGGTCTTTAAGCAAAAGAATTCCAAAAGAATTCCTTTCATCTCATATTCTCATAATGGTGTTGCCAAACAGTCTTCAGTGTTCAGGTAGTGCTAGGTTTGGCTTTTTTTTTTTTTTTTTAATCAAAAGACTATCATTAACTCAAGTGCTGAAACTGGAGACCATTATGGAGCCAATGTCTTCATGAATTTAAAAGTGAAAGTGAAAGTCACTCAGTTGTGTCCAACTCTTTGAGACCCCATGGATTCTACAGTCCATGGAATTCTCAAGGCCAGAATACTGGAGTGGGTAGCTGTTCCCTTCTCCAGGGTATCTTCCCAAGCCAGGGATTGAACCGCAGTCTCCCCAATTGCAGGTGGATTCTTTACCGGCCACCAGGGAAGCCTGGGAATCCCTCATGAATTTGATGTAAAGATAAATCAGCATTTTAGCATGGGACAAGGAGGGAAGAGGCAGTTCCCATAGTTAGGAGTGCCCATAAGACCTTGATTGTTTATGACATGATACTGAACTATGTTTGGCGCAATAAGCCTAAGACAAAGGGCTCACCACCTTTCAGATAATGTGGCTTCGGTGCAAGCATTAGATAAACATCTAAAAATATAAGAGGATACTAATCACATACTCTTGATGGGAATTTATATATCATGTCTAGAACATCTTAATTTAGTTGATTCATGTGAAATCTCTTATACAGTTGCAGATTTATAGTTTTCCTTATAATCAGTTCTCTTCTTCACACATCTTTCTTTCTGAGGAGACAACAAAGATTAAATGTTATCCAGGAATGATACTACAGAGGTAAATTCATAGTCAATAATTTCAAATCATGATACTACAAGGTCCTATATACACATATTGGGAATTCTAAAGACCACCAAAACATAAATGAAAAATATTGACTGTATTTCAAGGTCAACAAGAGATCACAGAGGAAAGTTAAATTAAGGTCTCAGGCAAAAATAAAATTAAAACAAGGTATGTGTAGTATAAAGTTATGTTGACATTAAACAATGAAGTGAACATATACTTTATGATTAAAAACTAAATAAGAAAATTATATGTGAAGATATTTGATATTTACTGAGAAGCAAGCAGTGAAAGTCAAGAGGATAGCAATCAAAATCAGAGCTTTCATCTTGTCCTAGGGTCTTCTAGAAGTAGGTAGCAAGAGATGCTTCGTTGGTGGAAGGAAAACAAAACAAATATTGATTGTTTTTGCTAAATTTTAACCAAAGAAAAAGCATTTATGCATATTATGGTACATCCATGGCATATATTGTATTTATGGCATAAAAAGAACTTGTCAAATTTATAAGAAAAATATCAAATCCAATGGATACATGCAAAGATTAAGGATAATGAATTCCAATAACAATGTGAGTAGTAGATAAAAATGTGGACAGAAGTCCTTGTTTTGTTGTCAAGAAAACATATAGAACTTTCTATTTGACCTACTATTTTACAATTACTAGGGAGTTATTTTAAAAGGTTAAATCAAAATATGGTCAAGGTTGAGGTAAGGTTGACATCCTTGAATGCAGTCATTGATTCTATTACTTGAGATAATCTTTTTGAAAGCAGAATGGCAATATAAAAAAAGAAACATGAAAATGTCTATACCTTTAACTTAAAGAATCTCAGTCTTGAGGATTTTTATTGATAAATTAACCAACAGAAAAAAGTTTGAATGTTCATTCCAGCACTACTTATCATTTAAAAATATGAATACTGATATTGATGACTATAGAAATTTGAAAGATGCTTATGTTATCATGATAAGTGAAAAGTTTAAATACCATACTTCAAGTAAATTATCCAAGTAGATAAGAACTGGAAAATGTAAGCAAGAATTAAATAAAGGTGGTATGATGGTTTAATTTATATGCAGATTTTCTGTTATTAAAAACTGTGTTTTGTTGATTTTATAATTTAAACACACAAAAGAATTTAAGAAATTGCCATTAAAATGGTCTTCTGCTCTGGTTTTGACCTTTACATATTTAAGACATTAGACAGAAAAGTTTAAATATTTACTTACTACTTAAAAATATCATTAGAAATATGAAATATTTATATTAATCTTGTCATAAGTATTATTTTATCATACATAAATAACTTTTAGAAACTTGACTTTTCTGTTAAACTTTTTCTTTCTTTTGATATGCTTATTATTGCTAGATTCATCAAAAAAAATCAAAGAAATAAAAATCTGAATTTCTCGAATTGCAGTCCTTTGAGGTCTATTATAAAATTATCCTTTTCATAATTCTGCATTCATATACTATACTTCAGTAATGAATCAATTTGGGGGGATTCTCTATTCACTTAGCTAACTCCTCTCCCAAAGAAAAGTAGCCATGTATAGGAATTAAAGGCTAATTACTTATACTTACAAAATCTCAATGTCAAATGTGGCTTCTTTTCTCATTTTTAGGTTGCAACATTAAAAACATGATAACTACAACTTTACTGATGGAGAATTATTATCTTTTAACAATGACTTTATTCATTAGGGCATCTCCTTGTGATTTTAACAGAAAGACCACTGGATCGATAATCACAGGAGCTGAATTGCAGTTATCAAATTATGGTCACATAACTTAACCTATCTAAGGCTTATTCTTATAATTTTAAAGTAAAATGATTAATCTATTTGATAAAATTGTCACAGCCCAATACTCCAGGTATAGAAAGCCAAAATAAAAAGTATATCTCCATCATGTAAAAAAGTCACAATCTCAAGCAAAATATAACACATTTATATATATATATATATATATCTTTCCATTTGTAATAAAAGAAATAATGAACAGAATGGAAACATTCAATTAATTTAAAAAACCAGGCCCATTGATTCCTTGTGTAATTTAGCAAAACAGATATTTCTG